TATATATATATATATATATATATATATATATATATATATATGTACAGACACACACACTTTATGCCATAAATTTGAACTTACTTGTAATTCTAATTAATCAATTTACATAAATACCCCCATACAATACCTTAAATTACGATAAAAATTAATATTAAGCATATATTCAATTATAATAAAATAACAAGTTCCCAAAATGAGAATAAAACACATTATAGTAATTAAGCAATGGTGTATAAACATCAAAATGTTGGTCTAACATTATAAGGTGTTACATTACAAGAGGTACTAATGGTTTTGTGTAGTATTGTGATTCTTCTAGGATTGGGTTGGGCAGTGTTCTAATGCAAAATGACAAAGGTCTAGCTTATGCCTCAAGAGAGTTGAAGGTTCATGAGCATAATTACCCAACCCATGACTTAGATTTGGATGTTGTAGTATTCTCCTAGAAGATATGAAGTCACTTCTTGTATGGTGTTCTGTTGATATAATCAATGATCACAAGAGCCTACAATATGTGTTCACCCAGCAAGAGCTCAATCTCTGACAAGGAAGGTGGTTAGAACTGTTCAAGGATTTTGACATGAGTATTCTTAACCACCCAAGTAAGACTAATGTGGTTGTTGATGCTTTAAGTAGGTTATCCAGGGGGAGTGCCACACATGTTGAGGATGAAAAGAGAGAGTTAGACAGCGATGTGCACCGACTTGTACGTTTGGGAGTTGCATTTATGGATTTAATAGAGGGAGGAATTATTGTGACAACTGGAACTTAATCATCACTAGTGCAAGAAGTGAATGAAAAGCTAGATCAAAACCCAATTTTGCTTGATTTCACAAGCAAAGAGTGTTGGCTTTTGAACAATGATTAGATGGTGTACTGAAGTATCAAGGTATATTGTGTGTACCTACGGTGAATGGTCTCTAAGATAGTATCATGGAGGAGGATCATAGCTCAAGATTCAATTCATCCGGGTTCCACAAAAATGTAGCGCGACCTTGAAGAGTCTAACTGGTGCGAAGGTATGAAGAAGAACATTACTGAGTTTGTTGCCAAGTGCCTGAATTGCCAGCAAGTTAAACTAAAACACCAATGTCCTAGAGGGTTGTCTAAGAACATAAAGTTTACGGAATGGAAGTTAGAGATGATTAATATGGATTTCATCAAATGCTTTCCAATTTCTCACATACAGCATGATTCAAGTTGAAGATTGTCAATAGAATGAAAAAATCAACCCACTTTTAACCGATAAAGACCACTCATTCGATGGAAGATTATGCAAAGTTGTAAATTCAAGAAGTGGTAAGAATTCATGGAGTCCCAGTGACGATTATTTAAGATAGAGGTGCACAATTTACTGCTTAGTTCTGCAAGTCTTTCATGAAAGGTTTGGGTTCAAAGGTGAACTTAAGCACTACTTTTAATTCTCAAACTGATGGACAAGAAGAGTATACTATCCAGACCTTATTAGATTTGTAGAGGGATTGCATGATTGATCTCAAGGGAAGTTGTGATGATTACCTACCTCTAATTTAGTGTTCTTACAACAATAGATACTATTCAAGCATCAAAAAGGCTCCATTTGAACATCTTTATGGGTGAAGATGCACATATCCTATTTGGTTGTTCTATGTTTGTGAAGCATGGTTTATCATACAACATCTAGTTCACCAAGCCATGGAGAAGGTGAAAGTATTTCAAGAGAGATTGAAGACGGCACAGAGTTGTCTGAAGTTTTATATAGATGGGAGGAAAAGGCCATTTAAGTTTAAAATGGATGACTGTGTGTATTTAAAAGTTTCACCTATCAAGGGTGTGAAAAGGTTTGGAAAGAAAGGGGAAACTTAGTTCCCGATATATTGGACCTTATAGAACATCCAAGAGAATCAGAAATGTAGCTTATGAGTTGGAGCTACCACAAGAGTTAGCAGCGGTTTATACGATATTTTATATCTCCATGTCGAATAAATTCATGGATGATCCTTCAATGATTGTACCAATTGAGAATGTTGGATTTAACGATATCTTGTGCTATAAAGAGATCATGGTCCAAATTTTATATCGCCAAGATTGCAAGTTGAGAACAAAATAGGTTGCGTAGTCAAGGTTCTTTGGAGGAACCAATTTTATGAAGAAGTGACTTGCGAAGCTGAAGAGGATATGATGAAGACATATCCAGATCTCTTTGAATCCGGAGAAAGTACAAGTCAAGGTGATAATTCTCTTCTTAGTAATTTATGAACTATGAGTAAGCATGGATGTTATTTTCTTTTGGATTGTTAAATGTTAAACTTGATGTTACTGTTCTTAGCGTAGTGAAAGAAATATCATTCGAGGAAGAATATTTCCAAGGGGGAGATATTGTAACATCTTGTAACTTGTTATAGCCAAGAATAAGATAAGAAACTAAAATTTATTACTTTAGGAACGAAAAAATAAAATCTGGAAAATTTCCTAAGTTCGAAAAGTGATTTTTGATCATTTTCAAATGACCATGACATGTAGCTCAAAATGAGTGAGAGACAATTCTTTATCCATTGGAAAGATCTTTCCAACGGCTCCGGGTTTGCACGATTTCGATATCGTCTGTGGGAGATATGGTTTTTGGAAGTTGGGTTGTTGAAGGGAGGAAAGTCCATTTTCCAAATTTTACTAAGGGCAAACTTGTCTTTTCACCCTTCTATTTACTAATTCTTTTTAAGGGTGTATTTGGGGTTAAAATAAATAGGAACTAAGAGTATAAAGGTTATTTATGCTTAGGAGTTGGAGAAGAGAAAAGAGAAGAAGGAAAAAGGGAGAAAAGATAAAAAATTAATTAAGAACGTCAAGATCTTCAAGTGGAATAAATCAGGAGTGATCCCTATTAAGGTATGTGAGATGTTTATATGTTAGGTTAGTTCACCCACACACATCTTGTTTAATTCAATAAATTTTGAGTTGATTGAATGATGAAAAGTGAAGTTCTTGAAGAATATTGTTGAAATATTGTTTGTTGACTTGTTAGGATATTAGTTGATTTTATTAATGTTTCCGGGTTGTTTTACATTTATTATCTAGTTGTTATTAAAGTTATTAGTTATCTTATGTTATTAAGGGAAATATCCGTGGGAGTTTAGGAGGTTTAGAGATGAAAAATAGAGAAGAAAAGTCGATACTCATGACAGTTGAGGAGGTTTATGCGCAATTGTATTGTAATCTCTATCTCATGAGAACCATTGTGAACCTACCTTTCCACATTGGTAAGGGACACTCTCTCATAACTATTTCACTTGGTGCTAAGCTAAAGTCCCTTTATTAATCATCATAGCTTAGTATAGGTCATAGAAGATAAACCCCTTTTATATAATAATCATTAGATCATTTGGAATTTCATTAACTTCCTTCAATAACAATCCTCATATGTGAGATTTAACACATTATAATCATCGTTTCATAGAAAGGCAAACAAGTAATCAATAATCAACCTTATCTCATTATACCTTAACCATAATCTCGCAATCCACATTTTAAATACATTTCAATTACATTCATCATACAATCACCTATATAATCTAATCAAATTCAACGCTTCAATTTATTACCATCATTTAGTATCTTCAAGATCATAGGTCTTACCAATTAACCTTCAGAAACCTATACTATGCTTTAACCATCAACCAAATATATTTATCCGATAATAGGCTTAATAAAATCATACAATAGTAGTTTACACACTCCAATTCAACATCAATTCACAACCCAGGGTTAGGGAAATAGGTTCAATTCATGATCTCCTCCATACAACTAGGTCTAACAGGAACAACTACCCGAATTCACCTATAATAAATTATAATTAATTCATTACAATCAAAACAAATAAAGGAAAATACAATTTGAAAGATCAATTTCGGATTAAAGATGAAACTGATGTTTTTCTCAAGTTTTGTAAATCAATTGGAAAGAACCATTTGGAGAAAAGAGTCCCAAGGTGAAGAGTTCCCATACCTTAAAAATCCTTGATAATTGATGGAGAAAAAATATAAATCTTGAATTTCTAATTCCTTTGACTT